TCCTCAGATTTTTCAATGAATTAATAAAATGATGGTTTGGTGATCCGATTTGGGTACTGTTACCTTATACGACAAATTCTTTTCAAAGCAGAAGCAGTATAGTATGAGAGAGTATTATTGTTTTATGCAGGGACAGACTCCCAAACATATATATATATCAATTTTGTATCAGACTCAAAACGATTAAATGATTTAGACGGTTAAAACATTTTCTTGGTTGGGATTGTTTTTGTAAGACTTGCTTCCCTTACATTAAAACGTTTCTCTGTGTTCTGAATGTTATATCTTACGATTCCAACCGAGCATTGTTGATTATGATCAATATGGCATTGTTAAGCTGTTGGTAGCAACTATATGTTTACATTCTCTATCTAATTCACTAAAGCACGGGAGTTGATAATTTTTAACTCGTTACAATTGAAAAATAGAATATTGAAACACTTCACCTGAAAAATATAAATGTTAGAAGCTCAAACATATATCGTCAAGTAAAAAAGTACAGATTTTTTTCTGATCGTTGAAAAAACAAGAACAATAAAATACGTTTTGCTAATTCACGTGAAAAATGTGGATGACATAGGGCTATTCGCTTGGCTTGTATCCGTTATTTACACATTACTAGTTCTTAAGCCTCTGGAACACACCGACTCATAACCGAATTCTTTTGAGAGTTTTCAAGACAAATTGAATAGGTATAGCTGTTTGCATTAGACATATAAGCAGTTTTAGAATTCGTATTTTTCTTGATTCAAAATATCAACGTTTGTTTATCCTCCTGAAATGAATAAATATTACTTTATATATATGATTATTTATTTTCCTACATTCTGTATGAATCACATTTGATTAACGTATGTCAGTTTTAACAGCCTTAAATGAAAAAGAAATTAACAGACATTTTTCAAATGTTATGTTTTGATGGAAGGCCAATGAATCTAAACTTTAACAGCCTTAAATAAAAACGACATTAACAGACATTTTTCATATGTAGTGTTTTGATGGAAGGTCAATGAATAATACTTATATTAATGAAATATAAGGCATGTATTATGATAAGTTCGTAGACTCTTTCGTTATGTGCATACAGATATAATGTGAACAGTTGTTAAGCAGTCCTAACTGTTACCAGTTACCTGTTAAATACAAGGTAACGAGACTACTTTCTGTAGCATTGGTCAATCGTGAAGGAGGTGTGAACCTTTTCACACAATTAAATTGTAATAGGCACATGTGGGATTTTCACATTGTTCAGAAATATAACAACAATAGACGAATGAAATGAAACATTGCTCATTAACCAAACAAACATTTTATTTATCACAATATATATTATACCTTTTATACAAAATGTTTGAATGTGATTTCCCACAAGCTAAAATCTAATATGACATACAGTTTCATACAAAAAGAGTGAACAAATGAAAAACAAACACTTTGGCATTCTATTTTATATATTTTTTCAATTTGATCCGGATGAGAGTTGATTATTTTGTTCACTTTTTTACAGTTGGCTTCCTTTACATTCATAAAATGAGGGAATTAGATTAAGGTCGAATGAGTGTATTGATAAACGGAAATAGGAAGTACCTCCCTAGTTGAAAATCCAATGTAGGGAGACAGAATCACAATTTCCGCATATTCTAATGAGTCTAGAGTTGCCGCCCGTAACTGTGTGATGAGTCATTAAGTTTATGTTTTGTCCATTGTTTAATCTTCAACTGATGAATATTGTATGTTTATTATTGACAGAACAGGGTGTTCTCTCAATATTAAAGTATTTCAAAGCAATCCAGGCATTAATTCAGGTGGGTTTTTTTTTATCAATGAGTCACATGTGTCCATTTTTCTGTAATTAAGGAAACCGGCTACCTATTTCACTACTGTGAAGTGTTTTTTTAAGAAAGATAAATCTTACATGCAATTACTATGTGTATACGGTTTTATTATATAATGTCAATTTCTAATCGTTTATAGAGAATTTATTTTACACAATTTCAGCATTTATTAAATTGATATACATTAATGCAATACTAATCTATGGCAGTATCATTTTTATTGACATTGTCTTTCATTTTTTTTCCTCAAAGTTCACTCCTTTTTACATAAATTTCCATTTAAAATCCTTAAAATTCTGACAACCTTCCTTTTTTTTGATGGCAGAAAATGTTTTTTACTTCAAAGCAATATAACTTCAAAATTTGAAGATATTCTACTGAGAAATGGTGAAACAAACCAATTACCTTAAAAACATATCAAAAGCATCAAGTGGACTTAATTGAAGCAGATTTTAACATATAATATTAGTGTGCATGCCTGATGTTCTTCAATAAAACTTTTTTTTTTTTTTTTTTTAAATCAATATATTTACTGTACATCATATATCTACAAGTAAAACTTATGTTTAATCAAAAAGACACATAAATATCAATATTTCAAACAATACCTTTTTCCTTTATGGAATCAAATTCCACAAGGCACGCTATTTCAGGTACTTATACATGGTTGTAGACAAAAAAACGTGATTATCTTTAACATCAGTATATATTATTATCTTTAATCAATTAAAGGAAGACACAGAAACAAGGAACATGTGTATGGTTGTTGATATGGAAAGTGCATTCGATAGTGTTAATCGAGAGCTTTTATGGAAAAAAATTGAACATTATGGTACCAAATGTCGTTTTCTTGAGGCAATCAAGTCATTATATTTTCATTTGCATGGCATTGTCATTATATAGCCTCTTTGAAAGCTGTGTCGTTGATGGGACTTTAATTACCAGGCCGCACGAGACACAAATCTTAGCGTTTTAATTACAACACTGACCGGAACTACAATATCCAATGTAAATTAACATGACGGCTACTGAAATATCGCTGGGCACTGTGAGACTTGACAATTTCATTGTAAATTTTTGTGCAAAAAAGAAATAAGAAATAAAAATACTTTTATTACAACAAAAATAGGACCAATGTCTGTCTGCAATATCGTACAAAATGCATATCGGTTGAAATCACCAATGCCGGCAATGTAAACAATGGAAACAAATTTTTAACACTCATGCACTCATGCTAGCGCGCATTATGTTGTTTGCTTGCAAAGCTGTGTCATTCAAATAGATCATAAATACCATACAAAAACAGTTCAATGCTTAAGTATTCAAATCATTTAGCAAGAGTACGGTCAATGACAGGATGAATCCCCCCTTTATAAAAATATATATTGCAACAAGTAATTTGGACATTTGGATTTCCCTGGGCCTTTAGGCATAATCGATGAGTCATAGAAGGACGCAACAGCGGTATGTTGCAGTGTAATTTATTTTTGGTGAACTGCATCTACTTCCCAATTATAAAGATGCTATCAAACGCGTGTGTGTTGTGTGTTACGTGTATCTTTGGGTGTTACACACATTGGTACATGGTACAACAGTGACAATGTCGAACACTAGGACAAAAGCTTCGGTGTTGTGAATTAAGGACATTGCAAAAAATATACACTTTTTAAAATCTGAGTATTTATTCGAGTATGGTTAACGAAAACATTATTCGTATGTAAATAATGTAAAATGTATAATGCACATAATGTAAAACAGTAAAAAAATATCCAAAGGAATATTTCAATTTTACTTACTAAAACCTGTTCATGTAAGCGTTTAGCCAAAGAACCTCGAACAAATTTTATTGATTCCTCGGTTTCCATTGACAGGGAACTGCCATTTGACATTTCGAGAAATATTCTATATATGTTGCAAGTTTAAGATACATGTGGCATCTTGTACAAACAATATTGCAAGTTGTACGTAAAAGATAATAAGCTGTACGTATTAAGATATGTTGTAGGTAACAGATAATAAGCTGTACGTGTTAAGATATGTTGTACGTAAAAGATAATAATCTGTACGTGTTAAGATAGGTTGTACGTAAAGGATCATAAGCTGTACGTATTAAGATATGTTGTACGTAAAGGATAATTAGCTGTACGTATTAAGATAGGTTGTACGTAAAAGATACTAAGCTGTCGATATTAAGATAGGTTGTACGTAAAAATATACTAAGCTGTACATATTAAGATATGTTGTACGTAAAGGATAATAAGCTGTACGTATTAAGATAGGTTGTACGTAAAAGATAATAAGATGTACATATTAAGATATGTTGTACGTAAAGGATAATAAGCTGTACGTATTAAGATAGGTTGTACGCATTAAGATATGTTTTACGTAAAAGATAATAAGCTGTACGTATTAAGATATGTTGTACGTAAAAGATATTAAGCTGTACGTATTAAGATAGGTTGTACATAAAGCATAATAAGCTGTACGTATTAAGATAGGTTGTACGTAAAAGATAATAAGCTGTACGTATTAAGATATGTTGTAGGTAACAGATAATAAGCTGTACGTGTTAAGATATGTTGTACGTAAAAGATAATAATCTGTACGTGTTAAGATAGGTTGTACGTAAAGGATCATAAGCTGTACGTATTAAGATATGTTGTACGTAAAGGATAATTAGCTGTACGTATTAAGATAGGTTGTACGTAAAAGATACTAAGCTGTCGATATTAAGATAGGTTGTACGTAAAAATATACTAAGCTGTACATATTAAGATATGTTGTACGTAAAGGATAATAAGCTGTACGTATTAATATATGTTGTACGTAAAAGATAATAAGCTGTACGTATTAAGATATGTTGTACGCATTAAGATATGTTGTACGTAATGGTCTTCGTGTAAAGCTAACCTTTTTGATGCTTCATATTTAGGATCCCTGTCCCACTGCACTGAGGTATTTCGTATATATAAAATATATATAATATATTGAATTTATTTATTTTACAACAATTATGTATCATTTTTATTGACATTATTTTACAAAAAAATGTGTGTCTTTAATTTTTATATTTATATTTTTTTGGTAGCAGAAAATGTTTTTTTCTTCAAAACAATATAACTTCAAAATTTGAAGAAATTCTATTGAGAAATGGTGACACAAACTAATAACCTTAAAAACATATCAAAAGTATTTAAACGCGTGGGGGTTCTTAGTGAAGAGTACCCGTAGAAAACCCACGTGGTCGGGCAGGTGACCCCAACCTTTTCACGTCCGATCGGGAAATTGAACCCCGGCCGCCTTAGTGAAAGGCAAGTGCGCTATCGACTGCGCCACTCGACCACCCAGGTATTTCGTATATACACTGACTTCCCTTAATTCCCTTCTGACTATAACTGTTACACAGTTGAGTCAGGGCACTTCTGTTGACCAATTAATTTAGTCGATTAGGCCTAAACTATTGCAATCTGAAGTCCAGGGTTTGAAACCCGGTCTTTCCCCGGTGGATTATTAAATTCGGATAAATTCATCTTAATGTTTTCTGTAAATGCCCTGAAAGATATATGTTTTCTGTTCAAAAATGATACAAAGCTATACTCATGCTAGAACAATACAATTCAATGTGTTGCTACAGTTTTGCAGTGGTGAAGGGATCTTTAAATGAAATATTCTTTTACCATCAACTCATCGTCTGTGGAAACCATTTGCTGACTTTATGGTGCATGCATTTGTCCGGGATATATTTGTCCGTGATGGAGTGTGTACCTTGAACAAGGCATTAGGTCTCCTTCTTGTAAACAGTATAGCTCAGAATCCGTTCCTCTGAGGTACGCTGCAAGCATTCCAAACCCACTTCGGGTAAGTATCAGGGTATCACAGCTTATCAACAAGTAGAAATCTAAAAGCTGTTTTAGAAATCCTTCGCATGGGTCGAATTTGTATTGTTGTTCAATATGTGTTATTCTGCCGGGAGTGTCAATTATGTTTGCAGGATAACGGATTTTAGCCCGTTTCTTTACGCTATTTGAATCAGTTGCAATAAAAATGTCATATTCATCTTTGTTTAGTTTGTCAAAATGATGCCATATAATATCTTTCCTTGGTCTAGTTCTACGGTCGTCTCCAGGCATGTTCGGATTATCCCCAACACGTACATGGGCACACGCTAGCTTAGGTCTGCTACGATGCATATTTTGATCTTTTAATGCATTTTCAAGGAGAGGCGATGGTTTAAATAAAAGATAATAAAGTTGTTTGTACATATCAGCATAGGACAAATTTTGAATCCACGCAATTTCACTATTGATATTTGGCCTTTTTCTGAAATCTTCTGTAAAATCCCAGTCCATACGAAGAAAACTGACATCCTGATGAAAGTAAGTGTTGATATCAAGGTCTCCAGTCAAGTACTTCCTTAGGGTTTTAGAATTGTGTGCAGTAAGATCCTGATAGGAACTTGCTGTATTAATTTGTATAGATTTATTGTAACGCCAGTCGAAGTTGACCGGAACCAGATAATTCTCAAGTGCGCATGGCTTGTCATGATTGATGAGAAAACGCCGTTTTGTTAGAAGAGATATGACCAGTGTGGAAAGAATACCAGACATTCTTTTGGACCAGCCACCACAAACCCCACTGTTGGCCTTGCTGCAGTCATACACAATATACTTCTTTCTTTGATCATCATATGTTGCTGGAGGAAGTGGCCCCTTGACAGCAATCTCATAATTGCTAGAAGTGTATCTCAGACGCAATGTCGACACAATTATACACACAGCCAGTACAAGGAATACCAAGGAGCGACCCTAAAAAAATAAAAAATATATAACATAATATTAGCCAAAGTGGAGGAAATACTTCATTACCGATTGAAATACTTTTAATCATATGATAACTTCGGCGATTCGTATGCAGGACTAAATAAATTATGTGAAGCGACTAATGTTGCTCATTCAATAATATAATGTGACTTATGTTGTCCACTCAGGAATATATAGAGGTTACACAACGAGTGGTTGTTGAATATGGTATTTATTTCACTCGAGTTAGTTAATTTTCAAAAGTTACAAAAGACACGAGTTTTAGCAAGTATCTTTCTGTAATTTTTGAAAATTAATTAACGAGAGTGAAATAAAAACCATATTCAACAACCACGAGTCGTGTGATCTGTTTCTACCACAATCTCATTGTGTTGACAAGGCTCGCATAGTGATATGACACATATGTAAAAAGTCACTCATTAATATTCAAAAATATTTTTTTGTTTTACAAATTTAATTATTTTCAAAACCAATGTTTTCGGCAACAACTTCGTGAAAAAATAAAATAGATGAACGACTTTATATAATGGAGTGGATAAAAACTAAAACGATTTCGGCTTAATAATCACTTGGTTACATGATTTTACGCACAAAAAAACCCAACATTTCTTGGCGATTGATGGATATTCGTTAAATATCAGATATGTGCATAGAAAATGATTATTTTACTATAGCAGATAGCATAACACTTTCTTCATAATACTACAGTTAAACATAATGTGACGCCCGTTACTCCGATACTGTAAGACTACGATATATGTGCCTCCAGGCTCTTCCGCGGTAACCGGTATGTATAAGGCACAGGTGAGATACATCCGTCAGGTGTGACAGGTGTTCGACTAATAGATAAGATTAATACTATGGGCTAGGGGCGCAAAGGGTCATTCCGGGTATCATCGGGGATTTATAATTAGTTGTTTTATTCATAATCTGGAAAAAATGAAGTACGCAAATATGAAATTTCAAATTCATTGGACAACTGGTTTAGGAGAAATGGCATTACAAACAGTGACATAAACCCACATTTTAACAATAAAATGTGTGAATATCGGATGTTGTGCGATATTTGATTGAAAATTCAAAAAATGAATGATAGTTAAATTACGTTTTGTAGAATGAAATATATTCAAAAGACATTTGGTGAATATATACTTACATTTATCCTTTTCGAAAATGCCATCGTTAGAAACAACATCTATTCTAATCAGCCGTGCAGGATCAGACATACATATTGGTCTGGACTCGATGACCAGTAGAACTAAAAAGACAGCTGGCATTGAGCATGCGCAAATTCTAATGAGTTTACCTTCAGATTGTGTGTATATTGTAAATGTGCAGCAGGTGACGGGTTTTGGAGATCGATTATAACATGAAGCAGGCCTTGGGTTATGATGAAAGCGTGACCGCCTGTCCCGCATTTATTTAATTTCTGTAAAGCTAATTTGCTTGGTGTCCCACTTTCGTTAACGCAACGGCAGACATTTTGTCAATAACTTTAAATATACTTTAGTTTGTTTTGTGTTGATTTATCTTCAAATAGTTGTTTAATCATATCTGAAAAAAAACCAATTTCCAACAACCTGAATAATATGTTAGTGTCAGCCGTGATCAACATCCGAAAAAGACAAAATAATATGAGCGTAGCTCTCGAGAGCCTTCGGCGCCCGAGCGAAGCTTTTTAGTTAGAATAAAGTACGGACAAGAATATCCGGAAGTTTATTTTTATATCATGTATACTTATTTGTTAATATATATGTATGACGAATACTGATACTTGATCGAATATTTTGAACAGTATGTACATTATTTAAAGGCGATTCTAGACGCCCATGTACATTGTATGTATATATGTTTATGTCATGAAATTTTGGAAAATATAATAATAAAAAAATAAATATAAAAAATAAAAAAATACCCCACTCTTTAACGGTAATACATGCGTGCATTAACAGAGTTGGTTCCCTTGCTATACATTGCCCTTATGTAATTTGGTATAAAACAAGGACAGGTTTGCCTCACGGACAGTCCGGTTATGACCGACAGAAGGAACAAAACACGCCTATAACAATCCATTGTTTCTCTGACGTCATTCCACACTCTGGAAATCCCCCCTTCTACACCGTCAGTTACTAAAGACTCGGTTAAGTGTTTTTTTCAGTGATACTTTCCATTGCAGATTTAATTCCCAGCGGCTGTGCTCTATCGAAATCTTCAGAAATATGATGAACTGTTAAAATGAATGATCAATGATAAATCATTTATTTTTTGCAAAAAATATAAACGACAAAAACATGATTAAACATAATATATATAATATTGATAAAAAAACAGCGTGTTACGACCATATGAAAGGCATTATTTTGAGCCAATACTGAGTACTGAAAAAAGTTGTGAAGTATCAACTTTTACAGTATACACTTGAATGCGCAAGCATGTATTAAAACGTTTGTCGATTAAATTGTTTTCTCAAGATCAATATTACCGCATATGATTTCGAGTACAGATAACTGTAATGGAATACCGCCTTACTGTATTCCGACATTTGTAGTCCACGAAATATTCTTACTAATGCTACATGTAACTATTTATATTAAAAATGAAATTATTAAAAAAATGTATTAACGACACATCTTCTAGAAATGCTGAATAAAGCAAATATTTTTTAGAATGTATAAGATAGCGACCCCAGTGGTATCAGGGTTTAGCCCCTGACCCTGGTGATTTAGTACAACGTCCTCCAAATAAAATAGTTGATACTCCAACCCTATAACCATGCATGACCATAACCACTGTTCTTAAAGACAGACGTTTTAAAAAATTGTAAACGCTTCTTTCTTGACAATTCTATTCAATTTCAAGGCCCTTTTGAATATATATTTGACCAAGGAAGACATAAACCTGTCTACCTATTGTCGATACATATATTTTCTTTCATTACTTAATCCTTTTATTCATTTTGGTTGCTGTTGCAGACAAGGAGAATATTATATATATCATATTTCGGTTAGCTTGTAATAATAATAATGATAATAACTCTAATAGATATTCTTTATTGAGAATAAATACATGTTTAGCCATGGGCTAATCTTCCACATGGTCCTCTTGTTTTTAAAATGCATGTGTTTATTATGAATTACATTATAAATATATATATATATATACCGCTACCCTCGAGGTATGAACGAACGATAGGCGGTTGCCATCCGCTCGTTTTCCTTCCAGGGGGCATTTGACCTAATGATTCATTACTGCACAGTTGGTCTGCTATCTCGCCTGCCTGCTGCTTCATGTCAGTGTGTGTGACCAACAGCCGTTGTCAGATTTATTTTGCAGATTTAAACAGTATCTTAGCCATTTTATCTACTTATTCTTCCTGCACTCACTTATTTGATAATTACATGCATAATTCCTGCAAACCAATAGAGGCACATGCATTATTCCTGCAAACCAAAAGAGGCGACTAAGTTGGACCCCCTGCTGTGACTTAGATCCATCGCAGTATTGAGAGGCGACTAATGACACATTCCGTAGCAGATTGGAGATTTTTCACATTTACTGGGCCAGATTTCCAAATGCACATGTTCCACGTTTTTGATATCTCTCGTTGACTCATTTTATATGACAGTGCATCTTGCGCAAGAATAGGTCCTCTACATCAGCGTTCCTTGTCCGCGATGCTCTCAGCGTAATTGCTGCCTTCGGCTGTCTTTAGCCGAGGGGACTATTGGTTTTATATAATAGCTATATTTTCAATTATAGTATATCAAGTCTATCTTCTTGTAATATGATGTATATGTACATGTAACTGTTCTGTTTCACTGTGTCTTGAAAAAGGAGCGGATCACTCCGAAAATTTGACAACCTAAACTTGTCTACACTGTTGGAATTACTTCTTTGCCCCATATATATATACTAGTATATACCAAACTTACAATAGCATAACATATATTATATCATAATTTTCTAAGGCACGATCACCTTAAAATTATTATCGCAGCTGTCTTAAGTTAAGAATATCACAGAATGCACAATTATCATGCAAAGTCGTTTCATCAATTAAATGGCACATGCCTAATTTACATATATGCAAACGAAGCGAAAACAATAAAAATTGACCTAGTTACACGCTTATGTAGCATATTGTAAAACAAAATTGGGTTCACTTCATTAAAACAGCCTACTGTTGAAAATGTATGAAAGTATTTGACAACTTGGTAAAAATTCATTTAGCCATTTAAAAAACATACATAATGTTCTAAATCTCAAGCATCTTCTGCTTCTTCGATAACACTTGTCATGTAAATCTAAGTCGAATCAAAGTAACATCAACTTCTCGCATCGAGAACTCGGGTAGTGACAAAAAAAACCACAATGTTTTCTAGTGAGCGTAATAAAAAATGCGAGATGCTGATGAAGAACATTTGACTTGTCCATAGCGTTCATCAACCTGCACCTGTGTTGTAAGTTTGTCCGTAAGCAGACAATATTTATCACGGAAGTCATGATACTAAACATCGACATGTAAACAACGTGTGTACGGTAGCAGGGATGTTGCTATCAGGAAAGAGAAAGTTCACGATCGAAAAGTCAAAAAATAAATTCAGCTGCTGTAGAGTTTGCTTGTAGTTGAAAAGTTTGTAAGCAAAATTGGTTGAAAATAACTGTATGAACTTAATGGGGCACTTTGGTATCTGAAGAACGGCGGCGGGTTAGCTTGGATGGACTTCTGTTGTTAGATATTACTGATGTTAATTGCATCAATCCCTTTGTTAGTGAAAACCACTTTCAGGAAATCACGCGTTACCGGAGAGTCGTGACTATACTTTCGAACAGTTACTCTGATAACGAACATAAACTATTTAGAATGAAGTTTATTGTAAATACGACCTTAAGCCATATCCGCCTCTTCTTTTCTCTTGTAGATGCAACAACCATTCCGGTTACTTTGTTTGTCAGTTCTCCTTTTTCTAACAGGTAATGTATTTTATTGTGAAGTAACACATAATGTATGCAAAGTAATATTAGGCGTTGCTTGTTTCACGGTTTTCAAAGTACATTTTTTTTGTTTTCAAATTCAAAGGCAAACAACGGAATCTTTCTTATCAGAGAATTTCTTATGGTTTCGGTATATCAAAAACATTTAAGTGCGAATTTGTCTTTGTCATGTTAATGCAAAAATATTTCTAAGTCGAGCAAATTCAAAGCTATATACTTAACATAAAATCCTTCATATGTATGCAGATAACTTCCCCACTTACAATTCCGCACCTGATGATTGCGAACTTAAATACAACATTGCTGGGAATCAAAGCTCTGTATGGTATAGTTAACAACTTATCAACAACACAATTTCTTTTCGCAGATAGCGCTCCAGCAAATGATACCGCACCTGGAGATGGTATAATTGAAATAGCGGCAGGGGTTCTCGACAACACTGTAAATGATACCATTGATATGCCATCAACTGGTGATGTAGCTGCCACTGGTCTCATTGATATGCCATCAACTGGTAATGTATCTGCTACTGGTCTCATTGATAAGCCATCAACTGGTGATGTAGCTGCCACTGGTCTCATTGATAAGCTACCAACTGGTGATGTAGCTGCCGCTGGACTCATTGATGTGCTATCAAGTGGTGATGCAGCTGCCATTGGACTCATTGATATGCTATCAAGTGTCGATGAAGCTCCCACTGGTCTCATTGATAAGCCATCTACTGGTGATGTGGCTGCCACTGGTCTCATTGATATGCCATCAACTGTTGATGTAGCTGCCACTGGTCTCATTGATATGCCATCAACTGGTGATGTTGCTGCCACTGGTCTCATTGATATGCCATCAACTGGTGATGTTGCTGCCACTGGTCTCATTGATATGCCATCAACTGGTGATGTAGCTGCCATTGGTATCCAAAGTGATACGCCAAGCAACAATAACAAAGGTGACACAGTTGCCACCAACAACCAAGCAGACGCTGTGGTCATTGGCGACCAGGTTGTAGCTCCCGTGATTGACATTCAGTCTGGATTTGATGTAGTCGAAGAATTAGAAGGCGTAGGAATACCACCGGCGCATGACACCGACACTACCGGAAGTAACACGAACACCAAAACAGCCGACACTGACATCATTAAGGATACCGAGGCGTTGTTACCTGGACCATATGTCACGTTAGAGGAAGCTAACTCCGACAATGAAAAGCTTTATCTCGATCCGGGTAAATACCTTTTTTTTTTTAAACTTAACTGATGATAATATTATTAATTTTTCTTACAAAACTATTCCTTAAACTATTTTCTTTATTTCATGTTTTAGTGAATAGGTAGTGGTGTATTATAAATTCTATCATAAACAAAACCGGCATGCCATGTTCAAATGTATTCATGCACCGTACCCTTGCATAGACTGGCGTTCCCAAACGTTCGTGTTTTTGGAACTCAATGGGTTGTGAGTAAAATATTGCTGTTTTGTGATTCATGTGTGTTTTAGTTTGGTGCTTTCTGATGCCTGTAGTTACATTATAGCTCCGCTAGTTTATGAGGTAACGTTAGGCTGAAGCTAAATCTGAAAATAATGAAATAGACTTTGACACATACCAACAGACCCCAAAAAACGGCACGCACTCTTTTACACCTACAGACACATTTTTACTACCAAATATACATACAAAAACTCATTTTCCCCACATAATGGAACCTTCTTACGATAACAGTAGTACAAACACAACACTAGAGGACTACAAGGCCCAGATCCGCGACACAGCCCTGATAGTTCTCGAATCCGCATTGCAATACACCTACATTTTGTACCCATTGTATATATATATTTCATGCTATGCAGTCCATCAAACAAAATATTGGTGTAGTCGTAAGGAATGACTGCACCAGTTCACCGTAAGAAGAAGAAAACGGCGCAATAATGTACATATACACGTGGACGGGTCCAGAATTGTGCAGCTAATTGATAGAACTAGATAATCGAGAGCTCTTGTATACCCAGGCATGTTCCTTAAGGATCGCCGAAAAATCATTTCTGAAAAGAAAACATGACATTGATAGACATTTATGAATGAATACTAAGGATGAAACAAACAAAACGTGATATACAAGTTTGTTTAATGTAAACTTTCAGCGGGGCTAGAGGATTCGAACCCTGGTCTTCAAAATGTTGTACGATCACTCTTACCAACTGAGCTACCTAATCAATAGAGGTTTTCTGTCCCAGCTGTCCAACAGTTATACACATACCGAAATTAAAGGGAGGTCACTGTATATACGAAAAACAATAGTGCATTGATATCGGAATCCTTAAAATATTTGTTCGAATGAAATGAGTTGTTTTCATATATTGTATTACGTTTTACCTGGCTGGGTGCCCTTATGTAAATAAAATACCTGTGTTATATCGATCGATAGTGATGTCGGTGAGTTTCTTCATACCCTAGAACACCACTGGTGGAACATGGGATATCAACACAATGACTAAATAATGACACCTTCAAAAACAAATACCTTTATTGACATGTCATGTGTAGCACGTGAGCTTATCCTGATAAAAATATCAATACCACATTTCATTTAGGAGTTGATTATCGCAAGATCATGCAAGATAGAAAACAAAAACCTGCTGCATAATAAATGAGTAGTAGGTAATCCATCAAAATTCGGATAATGACCGTTTATTAAAACGACATTAAACAACAACATTACATGACTTTATATGACGTTACGTAAAATTAGCAATAAAACAGTACATATAACAGTACATAACATTACATATTCGCCAAAGTCAATGTAAAAACAAGTTTGACTAGTGTAGGTGATGATATATATGGCCATATAGCCTTTACATAATGATTAAACCATCACAACAGAGGTACAACAAGGAATATGACTTATAATACAAAATGATAACAAAATACTTAAAAAGAAAATTCTCGTTCTAAAAAGCAAAGACAATGTATATTCGTAACTGCGGAAAAACAAACAACTTAGAATATCACACAACTTCATCCTAGTGGAGATAGGGGAGGTGGTGGGTATGCAAATAAAGATGGCTTTTTAACTTTAGCATTTACTCTGTCTTCTCAGTGACTCTTTGTGTGCGAGTCATGTGACCTATACACAGAAACTTCCGCCAGGCGTCATCGCATTGTCACATGACCGATTTTAATATGCAAGCAAGTAGCCAAGCCACTCGCTTGAAATAAAGCACATGTAAATTACACGTTATTGAATTGAAATTAAAACCACAAGCACACATCATAAATGCAACAAAATATGGGCATTTTTGCTTCATTACAGAAATTAGAGTAAGATAAAACAAATCGAATGTAAGTATGTAAGCATGAAAACTTGTGTTTATCCGAAAATGTTGGTTTAAATTTAGGATAAAGATATCAATAGGTGACAAGTGTAAAAAGGAGTTATATCCACTTGCTTATCATCGTCGGAATTAGCAAATTATTTTGTTCGAGTTTACGATACTAAATGTGTAAACAATGACTATCACTAAAATATACAGATAATAATGCACATTTTTTAAAAATATGCTTAGATGAAGAAAATCGGGCAAAGTCTATCCTTTTTCGTCGCCATATGACGGTTTTGTCTATTTAGTACCCATTAGTATTACTAATGGTCTGGGGGATAAAGATTCATGTCTTAAATATTTCAAAACCTATGTAGAATGCATCAATATAGAAAAGGTTCATTAAGTACACCTGACCCACTGCACTGTAGTCTTTTTCCAATATACAGTAGCCTCCCCTTAACATTCGTTTGGATATAACTGTAGCCCAGTTAGGCTAGATTACTCTCGTTTACCAGGTAACTCAATCGGTTAGAGCGATAGAAAAACAAGCTTAGGTCCAGAGTTCGAATCCCGGTCTGATTCCGTTGAACCTTTACACTCAGAACACTATTGTTCATTTGTATTTTGTTTATGTCATATCTATTATTTTCTATAAAACGCCCGAAAAGAATTGTTTTCTTTTCAGAAATGAGTCAACTAACATTTAGTCTTGCCAGAAAAACGTCAAATACTAATACAGTTTGAGCAGTGGCATGGCGATCCTCTAGGAGTCATTTAAACATATATCACATCAGTGTACTCAAATTTTTATGTTAATTTACAGCTATTTGCAAGAAGTGCAACCCTGATATCACAGTTAGAAATTCATGTTTCCTGAAACACCCACTTGACTGCAGAAAGTATATTCACTGTATCTTCCCTAATGAGAAATGGATTGCTTACAACATGCGGTGTGGATTCGGAACGTTCTGGTCGTACGAACACAATACTTGCCAATTCTCTCACATGGTGGACTGCACTACAGGTAACATAAAAAGAAAATGTCTTAAATGATTTTGAGCTTTCATATCTCTCATGCGTGCACTGCTATCAATTCCAAATCTAGGCGTTTTTTTTTGTTTTTAAACAGATTTATTTTTTATTTATTATGTATAATTGTTAATGTGTGTAAGAGAGGGTTGGGCTTTGGGACTAAATCACCGGATTTTCCAACATTCCTTCTTTTTGATTTGATTAAGCTCATTTCCAATAAATCGTGAAAGAATCTGATAAAGTAATGATAAAAAGTGATTAAAACACAATTTTCCATGATTAGTTCTAGTATGAAAAGAATTGATTTTAAACCATAGTAATTAATTGTTAACACATGAACATTGTTTGCTTGACAACTGATGCAGCAGTACTACTGGCTTAATGAGCTGACGACACTTAAGTGACCATGATCTAATTTAAAATTGAATAATAAAACGGCGCTTGTCTAAGATTAGTTGGACCCAAACTTGTTAAACGGCCTTAGTTTTATTGTCAGTCAAAAAGAAAAAATATATCATACTCTGATATTACTCACAAAAATGAACATGATCTAATGGTCAGATAATAACAAACTGACAGTCATCAGATCATGATCATCAATAACAAATAAGCAATGCTCTAATTGGCGCCAAAAGCAATGACAAACTGACCATGCTCTGATTGACGCCTCATAACGAATGACCATGCTCTATCTATTTTTGTGTATTGCTATGTCATAATTTATAACATACTTTCAATTATTCTGTCTGCCTCCTCTTATGACTATGCGTTATGAGCAGGTTCTAACTAACCAAGATGTAAGTCACCAGATTTACGTGACATGTCAAATTCTGCTACATTTCATACAATTTTTACACGAGAAAAATCGCATATATTGTATTATAATTTTCTTATCTTATTTTGCTTTGTTATTGTTTAATTATTATTATTATTATTATTTATCATCTATTAAAGGAATAAATAGTAATTCTAATGCTTCTTTTTCAGACCTGTGTCGAAACCCTACTCTCAAATCATACGACAATGCGCTAAACGATAACTGTCGGGCGTATTGGTCATGTGAGAAAGGACACTCGGTACCAGTGTGCTGTGATAAATACTTCTCCTACCGATCCGGTCAATGTGTACCCGACAATAACTGCACTAACGAGTGTCCAGACCCCTGTCAGAACACGGACATTACTTCGTACGCCAATGATATTAATTGTCGTAATTTCTACGAATGTAAAAACAAAAAGTCGAAATCCTTCTGTTGTGCAGCAGGACAAGCCTATATCAATGGCACCTGCATGGATGACAGTGTTTGTGATCTGCCATGCCCAGCAGATGCTATTCTACTCGAAAGAAAGGAGATCACGGCGACAACCGATAAACCCACTACAAAACGTAAGTTGCAATTAAAATGTAAATAGCAAATGGTCCAAACTTAAACGTTAACAGAAAAAAGGTGTGAACAAAGTTTATCTCGGGCAAATTTTTTCAAATCGTTAAAGACCAAGAAAATAAGCACCACTTTCGAAGTGAAACATATTATGTAAAGCAAAATAAACTAAAGCACAAACAAAAAAAGATTGCTTCGGAGTCACTTATATCAAAATAGCCTCAAAGCGTTCTCAATTTCAACATTATACATTTTATTGCCTTTTTCAAAGAAGAAAATAATTTGATGAACTTGTCCAAAGTTGTACTCACCAAAACAAAAATTCAAGTTACAAGCTAATTTTGCAATTAAGATTGACAAATAGTATATCTTTAAAAAGGCAACAAAATCCAATATGTTCAACTTAAAATGAAATATATATTGGGCTTTAGTTAGTCTTCTCTTTCTTCATAGTAGTATCCCTCCTGCCCCTACCTTCTGCGTTTACGTGTCAAAGTTGATTAAGTATTCAAGGGCCTGCACCGACTATTATGACTATCGTGATAAATGTCGACTTCTGACATGCAAACTTACAACGGAGGGTTTCCAAGTCTTTTATGGTCGCAATTATTTTGAACTTTACGGAAAGATGGCATTACGGTTTTGTCTTAATTTGTTATTATCAAATAGTTAGATAAAACAAACGAACAATGTAGACTGCTAAAAAATAGGTTTTAATGGCATATATGGTCATGACTACATGCTACCCTCACGAGCTCTTGGAACAGAAGCCCATGGTATGGGGAATATAATTAACCACAAATTTGACAACTCAAACTGTTAATGAAGTTTAGATTTGCCAGGTTTTTTTTATCACTGATCAGAAAATTCCAAAAAATAGTGCTAGCATTTCAGGTGTTCATAAAAAATATGCCTGCAATGGTGTTGCTGAAGCCATGACGAGAAGTAAGTTGAACACTGCAACCCTGGAAGTAGAAGAAAACCGACAGCAGTACCTCTTCCAAGCTCAACTACTGATTACAAAGCAGTTGTGAGCCTAAATACATTGGGAGGGAGGGCGGGTAAATACAATTTATACATCCTGAGATTACTTTCGGTCTCCAATCAGCTCGATTCTGTATGACAGGAAAGCTCTTATAAAGGGGCATAACTCTAGTTTAAATTAACAAGATCTACCAAGAGAGGTAACTCCAACAATTAAATTTATTTATCTCACTATTCCTATAATTTTCTGAAATCAATGCTACTTTAGCGGTAGATATTCTGCTTCATGTTTGGTCAAAATATACCAAATTTCTTATCCTAAACAAAAGAAAAAAATACGTTTTTATTTTTTATGGTTTTTCCCCCCTTATGTAAGTATCTTGCAAATATCCATCGTTTAGGAAAACAATGCAATGATTTTGAACTTTTTAACTTTGGACTAATTTTGTTGTGAATTGACCGGGCAACAGAATGAGGGATCATTTCTCTGGCTTCTTCTATAGTTCCCCCTTTTTGCTATAACATCCATTCCACATATCTCTTGTAAAACAGAAAACATATTTAGGGATAAGGGTCAATTAATATTTTTACACTTTTCTTCTGAGTAAACTTCTTGCACAACATAAGAACAATGGAGATTTCACAAAACATTCAACGAAATCTCAACTTTTAACAGGAACACCTGAAATATGTCCCTAATTAACGGGTATGATAAAAAAATTTGGAGATTGAAATTCCTTGTTTATTGATTAATATTTGTGCTTTTCTGTTGAGGTCATTTAATTGAGGAAGGGAAAATGTCGACATCAAATGGAGAGAAAAAAAAGAAAAAAAAAAGAAAATCTTCAACAACAAGAAAGTTAAAGTGTGTCGAAAGAGTCATTGTTTACATAATTAATTATTGTATTGTACTCGGTTCCTAATTTCCAGGGAGTTGCTCTCTGGAAGCGGTTGGTAGAAAAACGTTCCAGTTCATTGGAAATACAAACAAGTTACATATCACGACTTGCCCTGGGAATCTTGTGTTTAGAATTGAGAAATGTACTTGTGACCACCCCTCATCCGACATTTCGGACACTTTGCCCAGAGGTGAGTATATCGGAGTTATCTTCCCTTATATTAAAATAACACTGCAAGAAGTGAAATTGAGTAATTCTAATATAATACAGTTGTCAAAAATGAGCTATTTTGTTCTAATTTTATCACATTTGAAATGTAGAATTATATCACAACAATTTTGATGGAAATATAATATTTTTCGTCTCTTTTTATATATTTTCATGTTCTTACTGTTATTTTTATTTAATTTCGTTTTCATGTGAACTATTCCTTCTTCTTACTTTTTACTTTTACAGAGTGTAAACCGGAAGTGTGTGTCAACTTCGAGTCGGACTTGCATTCCTTTAAGGTAGAAAACCACCACAAGGTCAATATCAGTGGAGGACGTGGACATTTTAATGGCGAATCTTATCTGGCAATCCCCGTGTACTCTTTTAACGAACGATTCTCAAAGAACACGAACATAAAGATGTTGTTCAAGTCCAAACCAGGGATTGGACAAGATCGACAAGTTCTCGTTTCAAATTGTCGAACTGTTATCTCAGCCGGAAGTTCACGTCTTTCCCCTTCATTAGCAATCTTAATTGACAAATCGCTTGAACAACACTTCGTGATATACCTAGGAACTACCAAAGATAACGGAAATGCTAGTATTGCGCATACGTTCCAGGTGAGCTTTCCATATTACAAGCCGAGGATGGCCTAAAAACATCATTAGAATATTTTTTTTACATAATTATGTGGTATTTGGTATGTTTCCAAGGAACTTTTAATTTCTTTTCGAAAGAAATTATTTCATTTTTTACCCAATTGAATAACCAACAAATATTTTGCTTGATGAAACCCATTGCCAATGAAAAAAATACATGTTTACAATAAGAACAAAGGTACTTGTTATTCTTTCTTATTAATTTTTTAAATATTTGTTTCACATAAGTTCCGAAAGAAACGCTTTTCTGTTCAGAAAGCAGGATCTCATTTATTCTGCTCAATACGATGGCCACATCATGGCTACATCTCCTTCTTTCACTATCCCGTAAATTATCATCTTTTGAGGGTTTCTAAGTCATTGTTATCAACTTAATAATTATAGGTTTATGTCATTCCTTGATAAACAATTACATAAAGTTTAATAAAATTGTATGTGGTATATAATATATTATGTCAGCAGTTTGCCTGGTGGATAGATCAGCTGGTGGTATACAATGCCTTACAAATGTCTTACAGAACAAAATCATTGTACAACAAAAATTATATTTTCTGCCGTTAGCCCAATCAGTGGACGAGTTTGGAGCTATTGTTTGACGGACACAGACTTTCTGCTACTACCAGCAGCATTGATTACGACACAGGCCGATCCATAGACAGTCAGTTCGATACCAAGGAACTCACTGGTACGTGTCAAATAATCCTATTTTGTTATCTGTCAAACATGCTATTTTTAAAACTAAATGATTTCTTATATTTTTTTTTGGCCTTTTACTTTTTATGACCGATTTGTGTTACAGTATTATTTGATGAATTCTGGATATTTGCTATTCACACATGACTGATTTATATTGGTGTTAGTGGTTTGTTGGTATCGTTTTCGAACCAATTTAAGCAGATGTGCATATAAGTAAAACTAATGTAAGAACTCTGGTGTTATCTAAAGGTATTTCTTCCCGGCACCAGGACCGTATAGGTAATTTATTGTAACCTCATAATGTTTCCTCAGTTTGGTAATGGTGTATTAAGAAAGATAGAATATTTGAATCTTTTCCTCGCAGTTTTCTGTGAAACAGATGTCGTTAAAATTTCAACATGCACAGAATTGCACAGAATTCATAAGATCAAATGTCAATTTTCAGAAAAAATAAGAATATTTTCAACAGTTTTACGATCCTGGTACATTTTTATCCATCTGATTTTTATGAAAAATTGCTGAGTGCACAAACAATCTATACTTATTAACTTCTATGTACATAAAGGAAACACCTGAAACAAATTATGCATTTAAAATATATATTCATAAAAAACGTTTACGGATTTTCTTTGTAGAGGGAAACGCTTAAGGAATGTTGGTCTTTTTTTGTCTGGAGAAATTTTGTAGCAAATTAAACCTGAACTTGAGTAATTGGTTTTGCAGGAAACATATGTAGCGTATAGGTTTATTTGAATGAGTTTGTTTTTCAGGAGAACTTAAAGTAGGATTGGAGTCATTGAAAATTGGGAAATGCCTTCTTCGAGACGGCTTCCATGGTGAAATGGATGATGTAAGTTAACTACTTTTGTACCTCTGTCAGTATACAAAAGAGCAACTCGTGGTAAGCTTGTTTTTTGTTTTTAAATTTATAACTGTCCGTCGATATTGAGGTTTTCCATTATTTATATTTTTAACGTTTTATCAAAACATACATCAGTGAGAAACAATTTTTGCATAGAAATAGTTCTTTTGATAACATTTAACGGTAAACCAAAAGGCTAAAATACATCTGCAATCGCGGTGATTAAGAATAAGCTGTATAACTCTTACAGATTTGGGTGTAGTTTCATAGTTTGTCATTACTACCGACAGAAACGAGAATAAATACGTCGAAACATGGTACATTTTGTATGCAGTCTGAGTAGTTTTGTGATAATGTATGTCAGTGACAAATTGTATTACCTTGTATAAATAAGTATTAGTATTCGTTACTACTTTATAACTTATAATGCAGTCAACATTCATTTTTAACATCTTCAGTAAAACCATGTTGCTTTCCTTTTAGGTTTGTATTGGTGATTGTGTGAATGGCAAATTCTTCGGAAGCCCTCCTGTGTGAACACACCTCAACATAATATAATATTAAGATGGGTTATAATGTTAAAAGTATGTGTAACATTCTTTAACTCATTTAAATGTCGCAAATGTTATTAACTTTCGCGATTGTTCTTCGAGCAAATTCTGTGCGAATATTGAATGAGCATCATTTCTCATTTCATGTATCTGAAGACTTTCTTTATGTGATATCTGATTAACAAAACAACACGCTCTGGAAATAGTGCTGAAGGATCACTGCCGCACTGCAAAACACTGGCGAATTCCAAAGCAGATTTTCAAACATACAGTAACCTCCCCTAAATTTTGCCTAAGATATATTAACTGTTGAGGAACTGGGCAAGGGAAGCACCGTTGATCAGGTACCTCAGTTTGTTAGAGATACCGTTATGTGATCAAAGGTTCATTGTTGGAATCCCCATGTGGTCCTGTTGCATTTTTACTCGTAAAACAGTGTTTGATCTATCATTATTATTATCATTATTATTTCATATTATTATTTTTTCATTTTAAGTTCCGCAAGGTACTACTTTCAAACGTGTTATTGTATATGTTCTTCATATTATAAAAAAGGATTCCTGAACTCGTGACAGTTGTTTCTCATAATTATTCATCTCAATTATTTAATTTTCAAATTTCAAAACACAACAACTCTGCATTTGACTATATAATGGATTCGTGAGATATTTTTTTTATCATGAAATATCAATTTTAAACTGACGTCGGGATATAGTTTCTGTCTGATATGTAGATTAGTAGCTACATATCCTTTTGACGTCGTCATAATGAATTTCATGCCCATGCCGATACTTGCATCATGATAGATTCATATGTTATTATCGTTTTGCTATGGTCTTCAGATTCAAATAAAACATATTTGTACAGCTAGAGTCCTTGCTTTTTTCTTCATCTACGTTGGATTCTTTCGAAAGCTCGCAAAATAAGTTTTCAATTCCTGTTTGTGTTCAAAACAAACTTTGTCTTAATGGATCTTATCGTTTTGACATTGTCGTATCGCAAGTGCCGGCTATATATTTCTGTCCATGACTAGTCATTGGTAACAGTTTGTGCTTCCTACATTTGTCAAGTATTGTTGCTCGATATTGTTTAATAATAAGACATGGACTGTGCATACTAAGTTTGTGTCATCCAAGTGTTACACTCCACCAAATTTGATTTGTTTTTGTTTTGATCTTTTTCATCAAAAGTCATCAATAATTCTTACAATAGAAGACAGGTGATGTGTATACTGTTTGTGTCCTATGTGCTACACGACGCTAAATAATGAAGTTTGGTCTCTGCTCATCTATTCCGTCAACTATCTCTCTATACCTGAATATTTACAGTTTCAAGTGTAATTGACTAAATAACCTTTGTTGAGGTCATTGTCATTATCACTCGGATAACGACAGTCATTCTCGTGCGCGTAGTGATACATACACAGTGTGCATATGTGTACGTCAGTAACCCGGGGGTTTCCAGTGCTATTTCCGAAAGTAAACAGAAGTACCGGGGATACCAGATCTACAACTCATTAGTGTATTCATGCAAAAGAAACATTGTTGGAACGTACAAATAAATTGTTGAAATGTATACATTCCGATGACGTCACGTTTTTTTTACAGTGCCCGATGATTACTGCACCGACTGACAGGAAGGTTGGAATTTGTGTTTTTCTACGTGTTTGTGTTCATTTACATACGTTTACTTTGATGACATAATATAAACACTATCCAGAAATACGATAGTAAATTTAATTTTGACAATAACGTTCAATATACGACAATTCTGTCGTAATATTTTCAATTGCACTCGATAAGGCTGGTAGATAATTAATGGTAATCCCAGGACGAGTTCGATAAATTGACATGACCTAAATGTCATATGCCTACCTAAATACTGAGAGTTAAATCACAGCACACGAACTGGGTTTTGTAATGATTGAAATTAAAATCAAATTATAAAATTACTTCGTGTGTTTGTGATTTTGTAGACACAATGCCTAGTTACCGTTGTCTTGGAATCTACAAAAACACAGGAGAGTTCCAAAACTGCGATCCGTTGGTGCCATATTATAGCGTTCCGGAATTGAACAAGGCATCTTTGGGTATTCAACATAACTGTTGAGGTAAACTGGTAATGGAATGACAACGATATGATTTTATGATATCAGTTTACGAGTGCGAGTGAAATATTGTACGAGTGCATCGGGTTACGCAACTTTGCAAGTTGTGCTAAAAGTAGCCGCATAGAGCCACTTTGAAGTAAGAATTATCGCTAATCAGTTATGATTACATGTTTACAAGCGAATATAGAAACCAATGTGATGTTTATGTTGAAAACATGCAGCCGATTTCGTTCGTATAAGTCTTAGTTTGGTCGTATCATGTCACGGTGGCCTTCGAAGCGTGGCGCGAAGCGTAACCGTATCACACTTAGGGCTTGAATGGAATGCTTGTAATCCTCCCGCAGAATATATTCCGGTTAAAAGAATGCGTTTTATAAAATATTAAAAGAAAAATACTATAAATATTTGGATTAACTTTCTATTTAATTTAACTCGTGTAAACTAATCATAATCATAATCAATTTACCCTAGTTCCATTGTAGTTTTCACCCGATAACCTAAACTAAATAGACAGTTAATCCTTAATTAGAAGAGACTATCATGATTTTATCCTCCCTGCATGACTATTAGGTATTCTCAACTATCGCTCGACATTTCTGATCATCAGACGGAAACATCCATTATTGGGTCATCCCTGTATGACTACGGTAAATAAGAAGTTTGATGACTATTAAATATTGTCAACTATCGCTCGACATTTCCTATCATAAGACAGTGACATCCATGATTGGAGTGTTGATATCAAGGCTTCGAGACAAGTGCTTCCTTAGGTTTCCAGATTTAAGTACAGTAAGATCCTGACAGGAACTTGTTGTACATGTATTCATAAGTATGGATTTATTATAACGCCAGTCGAAGTTTCCCGGAACGAGATAATTTTCAAGTGCGCATGGCTTGTCATGGTTGATGAGAAAACGCCGTTTTGTTAGAAGAGATATGACCAGTTTTGAAAGAATACCCGACCTTCTGTCGGACCAGCCACAACAAACCCCACTGTTGGCCTTGCTGCAGTCATACACAATATACTTCTTTCTTTGATCATCATATGTTGTTGGTGAGGATTGTCCGAAGGAACATTGTCCCTCATTTATAACGTTACCACAAAAAGATGTGGTTTCTGGATAACAGTCGAATCCTTGCTAAAAGTGTAACCTTAAAGTAGTGACGACAAAATTATACACACAACCAGTACAAGGAACACCAAGAGGCAAAAATTAATACAAAATAAGGTCGCATCATTTCTCCGACGGTTCATAGGCAGGGAAAAAATAGTAATACAAGATATGTTCGCATCATCTCTCCGACGGTTCATAGGCAGGGAAAAAAGTAATACAAAATATGATCGCATCATCTCCCCGACGGTTCATAGGCAGGGAAAAAGGTAATACAAAATAAGATCGCATCATCTCTCCGACGGTTCATAGGCAGGGGAAAAGGTAATACAAGATAAGATCGCATAATCTCTCCGACGGTTCATAGGCCAGGGAAAAAATAATACAAGATAAGATCGCATAATCTCTCCGACGGTTCATGGGCAGGGAAAAAGTCATACAAAATAAGGTCGCATCATCTCTTCGACGGTTCATAGGCAGGGAAAAAAGTAATAGAAGATATGATCGCATCATCTCCCCGACGGTTCACAGGCAGGGAAAAATGTAATACAAAATTAGATCGCATCATCTCTCCGACGGTTCATAGGCAGGGGAAAAGGTAATACAAGATAAGATCGCATAATCTCTCCGACGGTTCATAGGCAGGGGGAAAAATAATACAAGATAAGATCGCATACTCTTTCCGACGGTTCATAGGCAGGGGAAAAAATAATACAAGATAAGATCGCATCATCTCTCCGACGGTTCATAGGCAGGGAAAAAGGTAATACAAAATAAGATCGCATCATCTCTCCGACGGTTCATAGGCAGGGAAAAAGTAATACACGATAAGATCGCATAATCTCTCCGACGGTTCATAGGCAGGGAAAAAAATAATACAAGATAAGATCGCATCCTCTCCGACGGTTCATAGGCAGGGAAAAAAGTAATACAAGATAAGATCGCATCATCTCTCCGACGGTTCATAGACAGGAAAAAAGTAATAATTTATTAGTAGGGTTGCCAACGTTTAGCTTGTTAACCGGTTTCTCGGTCGGAAGATCACGAACCGGTTACCAAAATCTATGACCATAAAATCGGACACTTATTTACCTCTTTCGCGAGCCCCATGTGTAACTTTTCTTGATCAAACATATACTATAGATGCGACGAAATGGGATAGTTTTGTAATAGAACAGTGTTCAGTCTGAGATGTAAGTGTTAGTTGATGTACATTATTGTGATGATTGACAAATAGATAGTGCCAAAAACATAAACAAATTTGAACAGAGTTAAATTTCAAACAGAAGCCAGAATACAAAAGTGTATCATAAAAAGAATAAAACAAATGTCCAGATAGAGAGTTAGAATGTTTTTATACTGTTTGTGAGAAATATATTTAACGAAGTATGCAAGTTGAGAATGGATAATATATGTAATGAGATTAAAAAACACAAATCTTGGGGAAAATGAAACAATAGAACGTCAAAAAAATAATCGCGCATGAACAATAAGAATTGTATATAATTATATATGTAACTATTTATATTTAAAATAGAATTATTAAAAGAGTAAATTAATAACACATCCTCTAGAAATGCAGAAAAAAAAAGTAGAATATATAAGATAGCTGATGAATGAATGCTTACAGTTTTCTTTCGTGGCAATGATTTATCTTCTTGTTCGGTAAATCACGTCTTTTTTAATCAGCCGTGCTGGATTCAACGTACCCGTTCGTCAGGGAACACGTTCCAGTTAAACCAGAAAGAAAGCTGACATTGGGCATGCGTAAATATAAAAACTGAAAATTTCTAAATTTAGATGAAAGCTTATTGCATCTACAGGTAGTATACGGTAATGTCTGAGATCAGAATAAGTAAATAAAAGACATACTTAATAGTGAATGAAAACTTATTTATCACACCAGAATTACTTAGGACGTAGGATTAAAACACTATGAAGTGGAATATACATACAATGCTAATATAGCAAAGAATACAAATTGACAGAATGTACACTTATGAAGTGTGACATTAAACAATGATACCGAAATCAATAAACAAAATGTCAAGTTTGTAAACATTTCTGTAATGAGGTATTAGTGTGACATTTGTTTTTATTCCAGACCTAGTGGATTAAAACTGCATTAACTACGTTAATTCTTGTCCAGGAACGAACGTGTCATATTTTCTAAATGATTAAAGAGTTCACATGTCTCTGTGAACGCTAGTATGCTATGGGTGTGAAGTTCAGTGTATATCACATAGTTTGGGACGTAAACGTTGGACGTTTAGGTGTACTTATGAAAGGGTCTTTTGAAATAGGATGAACGAACTAGATTCGGAAGAGAGAAATGAATTGGATGATATAGAGTTTGAAGGGCCAGGATTTAATTCAACATCACGACATCGTACCAAAAACAGGGAAACATATATTAGGATGTATGTTTTTTTGTTTTTTTATATTGTTTTATTTTTTATTTATTTTTGTTACATCTACATCAAACAGACATTATACACAAACTCTCATGTATGTTGTTAGCTCAGTGACTACATTTAGTATTACTTTTTCAGGGGGGAGTTTCCTATGTGGCATTTCAGAAACGTTGTTTGTTTCTGCACTGCTTTTGATTTTGTAACGTCATAACATAGGCCTATTCTTGAGC